ACGAGTCATCAACAGTCCCTCCCGTTGTGGAAGGCCGCCTCGGTCTGTTTAAACTAAAAGGGTTCCACCAATATGTCTACTCTACTAGGCTGAAAATTGGGCACCTCGTATCAACTCTCCAATCTGGCTCTGTGTGTCTAAACGCTCGCAGCTTGCTGGTAAATCGGCCCAACATTCGCCAAAAATCTGGCAGCGTAAAAGGGGCTATAGAGACAGACAACGCTCACATCCACACCTACGGGCAATTTAGAGTCACCAGTTAACCTGCATGTGTTTGGACTGTGGGAGGAAGCCAGAGAACCTGGAGGACATGCATGCTCCGCACACCCCTGGATCCAAACCCCCACCCTGGATTCGAACTGGGAACCCTCTTGCTGTGAGTCAACAATGCTAACCACTGTACCACCATGCTGCCCACAACAATAACAGTGAAGGAGAAATATGTTAATATACTGTAGGTTATGTATCAATCAATCAATCACTTTATTTGTCCCCAGTGGGGCAATTAGTTTCGCAGCAGTGCCCACAAAATCTCATGAACCCACATTGGATATATTGATTTTGTATTTTATTTATTTCTATAGAAGTGAGTGTCTATAATCATGGGGTTTAACTGGTAGTGGTATCGACAAATACATTTCTGCCTCCTCTGCAGGTCCTCTACACAAGCTAAAAAGCCTCTGCTACAGTGTTACCTTTGAGCATGATAAAGTCACAACTGCAAAAGACTTTAGATGACGTCAAAGTCAGGGTCAGCTCTTGCAGAGACGGTGTCAAAACACAGAGTCAAGCCTTTAACCTCACGATAGCAGGTCTGACAAACTGTAGCACACATATGGTCGACCTTGACCAATGAAATTAGTCATATGTGTATTAAAGAACATTGTTGTGAAAGCCTTGTGTGTGTAAATCTGATCGTGTGCCACTTTGTTTATTGTGGCACATGAAATTTCTCTCTGATAATCACTACAGTAAGATTAAGATGACACTGTAGAAGTCACGCTTGAGACACTGTGAATGTGCACTTCACATTAAAGCCACTGCACTAAGCCCAAGGCTTCGGTGATTACGCAGCCACTGAGTCGACTTTTTATTCCAACTAATCTGCAGAAGCAAAACACGAAACCTGAGATATACACTACTGTAAATTTACAAACTTTGGCATTCATTAACAGGTCTCTAATCAATGAGAAGTGTCCCAATCTGCTGGCTATCAGTATCAACTCTGGATGTACAGTACTGGCAGTACCACCACCACCTCTTATCAGTCAACTGAATGATTCCAGCTGCAAGTCTGCGTTAGCCTAAAGCCGGAGAACATCACAGCTGAATCCATGCAGGCTCCTCTGTATCAGAAGAGCCTGATATGACAGCTGTGTAGTAATTACATTATTAGGCGTAGAGCGTAATAATGTAATCTGTATGTGTTTCTCTCCCCCTTCTTGTCTGACAGTGTTGTCAGTCCCACCCCCTCTTCTGCTTTAAGACAACATGCCAACACTCTGCTGCCAAGTTTGCCCACTATTTTTTTTCCAGAACTACTGTATACAATACACACAACACAAATAAAGTGAAAATATATGTGGGCAGTTTAAGTTTTTAAATACACTTGGAAAAACTTATCCAGTGTCTAAAAGATGCCAAGCAACAATGAAACACACTAGATAGTGGTAATGATCTGCTTAAGTAGTTTGCTTTCCTCACCTGCAGCCAGCCAGAGGGCCAGCAACAAAGAAAGGTGTCAAAGTATTTTTCCATGCTTCAATAACAGCTAAACCTCTACTGTGTCTGAACACGCCTGCAAGGTAGGCTATTATTAATTAACAATGGCCTCTTGGAAAATGTGGCTGTCTGATTTCTGCAAGACATAGAAAATGCGTGTACAAAATCATGACAGACTGTACAATTGTTTCTGATGGTTATGTTTAGCTTGTAGGAAATATGAGGTTGAGAGTATTCTAGTTCTTCATAAAATCAGACTGTGTTATAATGGGAATTAAAACAGGAATTGTCATTTCAGCTGGCTTGAGTATTTAGGTAATCATTTTTGGAAGACATCTGACCTGATAAATGGCATACTGATGTACAGCTCAGCTCTACTGCCATCAAATGACCCTCAAAACGACTGTTGTTGTAAGTGTTTAAAATATAAAGGAAGCCATTTCAATATTACCTCAAACAACAAATATCTAAGTAAAGTAAACATTAAAAAGTTCGATTTAAAATCACAACTTAATCACATTATATTATTGCATTATGTACAGTGCCAGACCATCATGTCGCAACAAGTCTGAATTGAATTATAATGAATCACAGGCTGCGTCAGTGGTTCCAAACCAGGGGTCCAGGAACTCCCCGGGGTCCTTGAGGGAGTTTCAGGGGGTCCCCAGACAAAAGGAGCATCGTTAATCTTCACTGTCAGTTCACTATAGAAGTGGGCCAATGTGAATAAGAGTCATGAGAGTGACCATTATGATCACAGGTTTCACTTCCTGCACTCCTAAACTGTAGTCGACAAGCGCAGGATTCTGGTCTTGATCATGTGTGACAACCAAAATGTTTTCAGATGAAGGTCCCTGAAGCGGAATATTATCAAATGGGGGTTTGTGTGTATTAATTTAGGGGGTCTTGGCATGAAAAAGGTTGAGAACCACTGGATAAAGTGTACTTTACTCAGTGGAGTTGTGTTCAAAAAATAGTATTTGCTCTGATTTACTCATAGAAAGCTTGGAGTTCATATCTGGAGTAAGGCAAAATCAGTGGTTCCCAACTGGTCCAGATTTCTCCTTAAGGCGAGTTCACATTACACAATTTTCACCCTGATTTTGCGTCGCGGAGACTATCGTAATCTTTTGAGTGTTCATGCCTGCCAATGTGCGTTTCTGTCATCAGGAGTCTCGCCAACTGTGTTATGACCTGTGTGTGCACACCACAAGACTTCTCCACCGAGCCCTCACCAACAGAGCCCCAGATAACGTGGTGACGTAACCAAACTTGGAGACAACACATCATAAAGGCATGGATATTCTTCCCAGTGTTGAATCCAATCTGCCTCCAGGGCCTGGGTCCAAACACAACGCGCTCCCCGTGATCCTGTGGACGCCGCCATTGTTGTTGTTGCTTGCCGGCTTGTCAGTGTTGCCAGATCTTGGGAGAGAAACAAGAAACCAGGGCTATGGAAACAAGCCCCAAAGAAGCGACGGATAGGGAAAGGCGACGTTTAGAGAGCAAGCCCAAATAAGCAACTCCACTTTAGAAACAAGCCCAAAAAAACGCAACCGGACTACCAATATTTGTAAGTGACTTTACAAAAAAACAAGCCCAAAGTCCTGCGGCTTGTCCTCCTCACATTTCTTCCGTCCTCCTGCATGCTGACATGGGACATATCCCGCCTCTCATTGGCTGATGCTCTTTGTCAGTCGTGTCAGACTTCTCCAGTTTTCTAGCATGCCAGATATCCAGTCCCAGTCACAGACGAGGGGGCGACTTGCTCGTAGGTTTGTTCACACATGAGGACTTGTCATGGCAGACTATCTGCCGACTCACCTCCAACTCAAGGTGGCTCTCAAGATCCTCTGCGACGTCAAAATTTCAGTGAAAATCATGTAATGTGAACTAGGCTTTAGTCATTAGGTCGAGGTCAACACAGTTTAATACATTGAGCGTTATACCTGCATTTGATCATATCGACAAGCCAGTTTGACGTTTCTGTCAAGTAGCCGTCTGGAAACATCACTTCAAAATAAAAACTCTGTGCTGGAAATTCACTAGACTTAAAACTACTGTGTTTTTTCTACAAATTTGAGATGTCTGTGAGTCCAATTTGAATGGACCCACAACCCACCTTTGGACCGTGACCCACCAGTTTGGAACCACTTAGCTAAATTATAAAAACTTAAAATCTGAGTTGCCATCCAGGCTTTGATACAACATGAACCTGATTCAGAGATTCAACATGCCTGTTTGTGTCTCGATAAATTACTGTGGCAAACACTCCATAATTGAAAATCCAGCTTGGCATCCTATTCTGCTGACATTTTAAAGAATAAACTTTTTTTCACAAAACATGAAGCAGCCATTACACATTTGTTTCATATGCATGTTGCAGGATCACATATAGAAAACAGATCTGATCCCCATGTGAGGCTGCATAACTGATCATCCAGTTCCCGTGATCCTAACAGGTATGATCCAGGTCCAAGTTACACCTCTGGACATGCCTGACAGGTAGATGAGCGAGTGAATACGTGAAGTGACTGTGTGATCAGTTCCATATCTGTTGAATGGAGAACAGCAGGAAAGAAACATGCGAAACCAAGACTGTGGTTTTGAGGAGAGACGCAGCTGTCACAGATCTGTTAATTAACACCGGGAGGAAACACAATCAGACATACCGTTAAAAAGAGGCAGTGGATTTGGAAAAGACCGAGCCGGTGAGATGTGTACGGTTGTCACATATGTTAAGTCACCTGAAGTAAAGTCAGCCTTGAAGTGACAAGCCCAGGTACAGCACATCTATCTGTCCATATCCCCGCTGCCAGTGATACCGGCCGGCACACCGGGCAGTGATTGCTATGAGGCTAACGCCACTTAGCTTACTCGCTAACGTCAGTTACAGCAACAAAACAAGAGCTTTACAGTTTGCCACACTTACTGCGACACATGACACACACCGCCATGGCACCTTTATCCGTGACACATTAGATACCCGGGGTTTTCCTGCTGCGTAGCGACTTTACGTTGCCATGTAGCGAGCGTTCAACTCGTCCGCAACTGAATGTATGTCAACCCACTTTTAGCCGGAGCTAGCTAGCTAGCTTACATGCAGCATTAGATAAGAATGTGGGTCACCGGGCCTTTGGCCAGACTCTGTCACCAAACAAGCGCAGGCAAAACTGTTTCGTTCGCGGCTTTACGTGTGTCGACAGTACACAGACAGGCTGAGGATGTAAGCGGTAAAAACACGGAGTGGAGTCCAGCGGTAGAGGTGTCACACTTACCCCGAACAGTCTCCCCTTTCATCGGGATATCCCTGCACCCAGTGGCGCTGCTGACGGTTGACTGCGCAGCGCTGAGGCAGCTCACTGAAGTTGGAGCTGGAGCCAAAAGGGCCTGTCGCTGCTACTCCAGATAACATCCAGGTTCAGTTACAGTGCAACCACTGCACACTTACACACAGGTACATATGTTACTGCTGTTATTACATAGTTTATTTAGCTAATAGAGTTTAGCCTGACTAAAACCTGCCACATAAAACTTTTATATTTGCACCTCCTGTCTGCACTTTTGCTATTTTAATGGTGTTTTTGAAACTGTTAATCATCTCGTAATTTGAACTTGTAAATCTTTTTTCCTCTTTATTCTTGTATTGTAAATCTGTATCCTTTATTATGTTTTATATTTTATTGTTCTGTAAAGCACTTTGAGTTGCCCTGGTGTATGAAATAAAGTTGCCTTGCCTTGAACCACTTGTGGAAAAGCAAAATTCAAAAATAGTCCATTGTGCCTTTTCTCTTTATTTTTAGTCACGTCTTATACATTAAAAAGCAAAAAAATAAATAGATAATGAATAAATGGGGGTACTATTGTGTGACTGTAAAAGGTAAAAGGCAGATTTTCTTTGTTTAAACAGTGTTTAACCAAAAGAAATTCTATTTATTCATTTATTTTTAAATTATTATTATTAAATAATAATTATTATTATTATTATTGCATTTTTATGTGTCTATAGTAGCCTAAAACAGATTTTTTTTACAGAAAAAATATGGCCAAAAAAAATTCTTTCTGAACCCCCTTGAGAGGTGTTTTATATCATTGAAGGTTTATAAAGCTACCTCATTTCATAGGTATCTTCCTATTCAATATACCAGACAGACAGGTGTTGTGAGTCTGCAGGTTTTGCATAGCTACTGTACATTTTTTTTATTTGTTTGTTTTTTCAATGGGACACAAATGAATCCAGACTTGTGAAGTCAAATATTGTTTCGTTCTCCTGTCTGCTCTTTGGACGAGTGTTTTCGGATTAATTGTCCATCAGATTGTTTTAGCATTTTCCACATCTCCGGCGTGGTACTCGTCACCATGGCAACAGCCAAAGCGGCAAAAACTGCAGTACCATTTTTGACCACAGTGATGGAGTCAATGGGCTGGTGGCGCTGTTGCGATATTTTAGTGGGAGAGACTAAAAGGATGAATTTAATTGTTCTGTGTTTGAAAAAATGTGTCATACAATGCAAATTTAAAGCCCTTACTATCTTTTATAAAGTACATTGTCCTTATGTTATTTACTATTCTTTCAGGGACACTGTTCTGTCACATTACAGCATCCAAACACAGGTTTTGCTTACCACCATGATGATGATTTGCATGCATCCAGTGCTTTTCCTGCAAGCCTCTCTTGCAAACTGCTCATGTCAACTTTTAAATGTAGATTTTTTTCATCTACTGACAGCAAATCAGCAAAGGCAAAAAAAATTACCCACTATTATTTCAAAAAAATTACCCACAAAAAAGGCAAAAAAAATGACCCACTATTATTTCTAGTATACCAAAATATGAGGCCTGCAAATTAGTATATGATTTCATGCTGATATGTTCTTATCTGCTTGGGAGGATGCCAAGTGGGCAAATTGGTCAGAAATATTTTTCTGTTACTCACACAACATCCTCCAGTCAACAGTCTTACTCTTGTTCTCAGGTAGTATGAGTCACATGGAGTGCTCACAGGAAACAGTTTGGAAGTTAGCCCGAGATTATTGATTTGAGTCCAGCATGAGGTGTTGCAGCGGTGTTTTATTTTACAGAGTTGGCCAGAGGAGCCGTGATATTTTACACAGTGGCTCATTCTGTTCTGAAAATCTAAAGGCTCTCAAGCTAGTTAAAACTTCACCGTGAAAACGCACATATTTATTGTTGTTTGTGGTTAAAGCACCTTTTATGGCTTGAAATGCAAGCACATTGAGACACAGCCAAAAAAATGTTCTGTTCTGTAAAATGTTCCTGTCAGTATGGTGTGGGGTTTACTGTGGTGCAGCTGAAACAATAAAGAGCTCCTGCCATGTTGTACTGATACTGAGGATAATACAGAGAATACTAATAATTCAACTCTCTTGAACCTTTCCTGCATGAAACTTTGTTTAGACTCAGATTTAATGTCTCCAAGGGGAATGTCAGACGACAGTACATACAACAGCACACACTGACAACATACAGTGACAGTAAACAGCGCCTGCAGACCTGTTCAGCAAGGCCTATTGTTTAAGACATTGGTTCCTAACCTGAGAGTCCTGACCCCCACTAGGAGTTGGGGTCGTGAGGCCTTCTTGATTTTAAGGCCTGGTGAATGGCACTCGAACGCCTCGCCATCCTTCTTTCTGCAGAGTAGTCCAGACTGCTTGAAGCTAGTTACCAGCTAATAACGAGCCAAGATAATTTAACGTTAATAAGTTAGCGTCCTAATAAGTAAACTACGGTTCGCAGCCAGTAAGCTGTCACTGCGAGAGGTAACACACTCCTCCACCTCTCTTTCAGCTGTAGTGTCCTTGGCTTGAAAAACATTGAGGGCCCTTGTATTAAGGGGTGTAAAACAACTTTTTTAAGAAGTGTACAGTTTTGCCTGTATCCCAGCATTTCTTTCATTTCTGAAAAGAAAACTTAATTATTTTTAAGTGTGGCTTGACTTTTTCATAAACAGCCTCATTCTACATCAAAAAAGTAAGCAATTAAGACAACTCAAGAGCTAATGGTACAACTGGCAAGTGTCGGAGAAGAAACAACTGAATTTGTCAAAAAAGCCTATTTAGTACTTATGATACTTATGATTGTTTAAACTAAAAAAAAACACAATACAGACATTACATTGTATTAAAAGTACATAAAAGCAACAGGAAAACTCATCTCTGATGCAACATTCACAGGAAATAATCTGCTCAAAACTCATCCATATTGCTTGTTTTACACAAACTTCCTGCAGTTATTGCGTTCACTATTTGGGTTAACTGCACAGTTTATCAGTTGTTATGTAGTGTTATTGTTTTGCATTGAATATAATATGAAATTGCATAAACTATTACACTTAGGGATCGTAGGTTTACTAATAGATGGTAGAAAAGATAGAAAAGAGGTCCCTTAAGACAATGACACAATGCAAGCCCTTGTATACCTCAGTGCTCTGTACCTGCACCATAAGGGCAGGCACAGTATAGGTGTAGTGTAGGGTAAGGTGTTGACTGAGTGATGTTGTGATACCATGTCCTGCTGAGGTGACAATGCGTGCATGGTTTTGTTGTTTAGCTCTGTGAGGTTGGGTGTGGGAAGACCATTTATCCTCTTAATTGGTTATGCATGTGAGTTTGGCCCAAATAGTAACAGATAACATGTGGGACAATACAGGTAAATGGGCTAAATGAAGCTCTGGTGCAACAGTAGGAGGAGCTGGGGGGCCAACATGGAATCCTTTAAGCGTTTGGGTGACTGATAGTCTCTGGTGGCTCCTTTGTTGGATGTCGTTAGTGTGCTGGTGGAAACTGAGTCTATTGTGCAGTGTCACTCTGAGGTATTTAAACTGTCAGCTGTTACAGCTGTTTGGTTATTGATGAGAATGGGATGCTGAGGTGAGGGGGGGGGCAATTATTATTTCCTTTGTCTCGCTGACACTGAGGTGAAGATGGGGACCTCAGTGGGGTCACCAAAAAGCTACTGGAGCGCATACCCACATCCACTTTGTTAACCTCATCAACTCCCACTACATCACTGGTTATTCTCACACCACGGGTGACCCTGACAGTCCAGAGCAGATCTGTGAGGAGGGCAAGAGTGACTGTGTCGTCTGAGTATGTGACGTAAGCAAGGACTGGAGGGTGAAGACTTTTGCAACCATTAGTGTAAAGTGTGTATCAGTGATTGCATCAGTCCATCAACCATCACTACCATAATTATATCTGTCAACTTAATGAGCAAAATGTCAGCTCAGTTGAGGAATTTCACTACACTGGTACGGACTGAACAGATCTACTCTTGTAGGATGCATCATTTTATCGTGCTTCTGAAAGTGATCAATACTTTAGAAGGCTAATGAAAACATATTTAAACCAACTGTAAGCTTTAAATAAAACCACTGCTGTGCGTACAGTTTCATCTTACTGAAACCACCTTGGATGTCTATTGATATAAAGATGGTGACACCTACTGTTGATGACAGTAATTACATATTCAGGAAGGAAAATAGCAGAAAATGTAATCTTGCAAGAAGAAAGCAAAAAGAGAAGGAATTTAAACACTCTGAAAAACTGAAACTGGCACATTATGAATTCAGAGCAATGCTCGCATATGTTGTCATCACCAGTTTGTGTGAATTAATTTCTCTTCCTGCAGATTTCCCCGTGTTGCAGGCGCTGTAGTTTTATTATGAATCTATGAGAGGTTGCATTTGTGTTTTCTAAATACTTTTTTTCATAGATAAAAAAGGTATGATATATTCAAGTTGTCATTTTCAGATCATAATGATCTCTCATGTAAAATTAGTGTTTAAAAAAACAGGAGCAGTCCAAATATTCTTGCATGAATTTATGTTTTTTTTCTTTTAGCAGCTTTGCTTGTTCACTGTGTTATGGATTCCTTGATTTATGGTCATTATTATGAGGCATACATGCAGCATTAAAAGGTGTTTTATTAGTTTTTATTTTGTTTTAATTCTGATTATTGAAAACTGTGCTTAGAAAGTGTTATATTTAATGGTATGTTTATGTTTCTCTCTCTCTAAAAAGAACATTTAACTTCAAATAAATGCTTTTATTGTGGTTGAAATATTCCTGATGAATGTTTAACTTCACTGTACAATATGCAAGCGTTCATGTGAATGTAAGACTGTGTGTATCTGCATTCATTGGTGCAAGCAGACTCTTTTTCATAACGCATAGCAAATCAAATTTACACAACTACACCCGACCACATTGTTGCAGTTTTAATGCAAATGACACACATATAACACAAAATAAAATCTGGACAAATGGAGAGTATTTTAATCATGTTCTCTGTGTACATTCAGACATCACTGTACAGCAGTGGCAGAGGACTGTGGCTAAAGTCTGGATCACTCAGTCGTGGTGCAGCGGCTCGGGGTCTCAGGGTCTGTGTTGTCTCTGTACACTCAGCTCCAGAGGTGGCGACTCTACCACACATTAATACACACGGTTAGATGATGATTACAGGAGCAAACACACATACATTAAACATGGTGTTAGCAGCTTATAGGTCCTTATAATGGAAACAGTAGCTATTACCACGGGGATAATGACAGGGTTTCAATGGCAATTAGGGACTTTATGAAAATTACTAGGGTGTGAAGGAGGGGTGAGCCTCAGGGTTGTTATGAAAGGTCCTCCAGAGCGTTATTAATAACTTTTTTGGGCCCTCCTTTGAAAGTGTAACACCATCTCCCCCTAATATCTTAAAAAAATACAACATTCTCAACCATTTGTAGGTAAAATAGATATTTTAAACCTTAATTTTTGACAGCAGCAAGCTTTAAAAATGATACAGAAGGTTAATGAGAAAGTGTGTGCCATGTTTCAAGATAACACTGGCTAGTGATTATGATGGGAAAAAGTAAAACCCTGATAGGTGTAGCTCTGTACTCCTTTGCATAAGGTAAACCACACATTTCCGATTAATAAAGGTGATAAATAATTCCCAAAATAAATCAAACGAGACGTCCTTTTTTGCCCAGATTTCTCAATCTTTTTAAGGCAAGGATCCCACACATGATAGAGGATATACCCCTTGATATAATTTTTACATATCTGTCATCTTAGTTATGTTAACAAGCAACACAAGAGAACACTTCTAGATTTGTTAGATTAAAAAGTAATCTGCAAACTATTTCAGATTTAAAAATTAAAATATTATTGATTGAACTATGAAACTTTTTGTGATAAATAAATGTTTTATTCATGGAGCCCTGCAGGTCCCTGGACTCCACTTTGAGAATCACTGTTTTGGCCAAAAGAAAAATTAGGATACCCTTTTAATTTTTCCAACTTCCCTAATAATTTCCAGACAGTCCCTTAAGCTTTTAAATGTCACTGTGACATGTCTATTTAAGATGGGAAAAGAAAATGCATTACCTTTAATTTACTCATATTCTAAGGATCTTCTTCCATTTCGTGGCTGTAAATGCAAAAAAAAAATTAGTTTAATGTCCATAATAGTTTACAAAGATGTTAAAAAGCCCACCTGGACAGACTGTATGTATATGCATGTATGTATAGACCTGTATGTGTGCGTGTATGTACATATATGTATATGTACTTATTATATTTCATATATATGTATAATTTCTAAATTGTATTTTCTTGTATTTGTACTTCTTTGTTTTTCATATTGAATGACATTGCACTGTAAAGCACTTTGTAACTCTGGTTCAGAAAAGCAGAAATAAAGTTTATTATTATAATACTATCCAGAGGAAGTTATTTAATTATTCTAATTTTCTGATATAAGCACGTTCATACCCGATAGAGGAAGTAACCTCTGCTCTGGATTCCCCCAGGTCCCTGGAGTTCAGCCTGCACAGACACAAAACCCACAGAATTTAACTTCAACAGAAGAATATCTTCTCGTCTTATTTGCCTTATTTTTCTTTGTGTTGCCACAACTCTCCTCCACCAGCCATCAGCACACGCTCAAAACATCCACTTCCAAAGCAAACACTCTCTACGTTTCTCACTCTCAGTTCCTCTTTGTCCACTTTGTGAATGTCAGTGCTTGATAGCATTGAGGGATAAGTCCACCTGTCAGCTGCACTAATTTTAGACCATAATTACTCGCAGCTTGGGAAAGAACAACTAATGTCGACTGGGCTCGTACAGAGTGCGAGGAGAGCTGCCCGACATGAAACAGCGTCACTGACATGTAAGCTCAGGAAGGGGAAAACATATGTAACAAACACATTTCAGTACTGACAGTTACAACAAATATACAAGGCACTACTTCTGTGCATGCTGCAGTTTAATGATTTTATATTCATCTGCTCTTTCTGTATTTTTAACCAAGGAGAAAAAAAAGGATCTGAAAACATTCTTTACACACAAAACAGGATTTCACATCACCACTGATTGCATACAGGGTTTTTTGTATGTTAAAAAAAACAAAGTATTTGTTCTCAATATCTTTGTTTTATCAATCAGTGGCTTTTTTTATAAAGCACAAAAAATGGAAAGTGAAAGGAGAACTAACATGGGTGGTACATACGCGCATTGAGAGTCCTCTCTCTCTTCTGGTATGGAGTTGGGAAACTAGACGCAGGAGAGGGTGCAACGGAGGGGTCTGACAAACAAACACACAGAAAGAGCCAGACAGCTCCGCATGGACACCACAGAGATGATCTCCGTTTCATCTCCAATAAAAACATGCACGACCATGCAACAAACATCATACAAATGCCTCCTGATGCCTTTATTGTAGCCTCAGCATCAGTGTTTTGATAAACACATCACATTCTGCATTATTCACAAACCAGTGATGGAGGAGCAACATGATTTAGTATTTCATATTTGAAATATGGTTTGTTGTGGCAAGTGAATGTGCATCCTCGGATGTTTTATGGGTTTGTAGGTTCAAATGAACATAAAGGAAGATAACACAATGCATGTAAATAATCATGACTTATTTCATACTGACGCTAGACGATGTAAACAATTCAATTTACTTTCAGTTCAGCTGCACAGACCCATCTCTCTGCATCATCTTTGTTGACTTTTATCTGCTACATTGTCAGAAATCATTTGTAGACATAAAAATTAAAGAAAGGATCATATTTAATTGCAAAAAATGTATTTTAATATCTAATAACTGCAGACAAATTTTGCAGTGCTTATATCATATTTCTGCGACCTTTCCCTTTTCTTGATTGACATCTGTGCTTTCTAGTATGAGTGACAGACAAAGAGGGGAGTGCAACATAACCCAAGTTCTCGTGCAGTCTGACATGCAGAACACAGAACAAGAAAAACAAGCACTGACACAAGGTTTCATTTGATAACCGTGGATGTGAGGAGTCTGCATGTGTGCATCCATGTTGCAGCGTTTGCCTGCATGCATGTTGGTGCTCATCTGTGCTGGTACATGTGCACCTGCATGCATTATGGTTTGGGAATGAAGTTCAGTTGCCTATAACGGCTTTAACAGTGCATTAGATTCAGGCATTTTAAAAGTATCACACTAACTACGCAAAAAATGCAGGTTACATAGTTGTGAAACAAATCTGAGATGCTTTGTTAGGTCAAGCAAAATTCTGTAGCAGATGCAGGTTGATATTTTTTAACTCACCACTCTGTCTGACAAAGCAGAACTTTGCTGTCTTGAGTAATGAAATAAAAACTGCACATACAGTGCTTGATGTAAGAAATAAAAAACAAGCTGATATAAATTTGTCATTGTCACTTCATGTCATGTCTCTGTGGGTCTAGTCTAACCATTTTAGGGAGCTCTAATAAGAGAAATACAAGTTGTACTTACCCTTTTACTATTTTCTCGCACTTTCAGCTCCTGGGAAAAATGACAAAATGAGTCTTTACGTTGCTTTCACTCTGCGAATCTTTGGACTGTACTCAAACAATCAATGTTTCACTGTGCCTTTTCATACAAAATCTAATGTGGAAAAATATCTATTGCTTGTACGGTGACTCCTCACTTAGAGATTATCGACCATGATGTACCTTTGACTTCTGAACCAGCATCAAGACACAGAGTTCTCCTAAGACATCAGATGCCTGGAAAAATGAGAAAGAAGAGCGACTGTAACAAACAAACAAATGTACTAAAAACTTGCACAACAAGTCAGACTCACACCTCACTCACCCAAAACTTCAGGTCTGCAGAGAGGTAGGATGAGCACACAGCATCTATCTGTGGAGCAGCACAGAGGATGATGGACAGGCACACAGACAGGAAGGATGAAGGTGAAAGAATGAAAGCAAATGGCTTACCTGGCTGAGGAGCTGCCTCTGATCTGTTGTGGCTTGCTGAAGTTCTGCTGGAGCACCTTTGGTTTTGTACACAGGAAAACACAGTTAATACACAGCGAACATTTTCACATCATCCTCACAAAATATACAACATTCACACACTGAGCTTTTATTGACAGAACAGTAATGATGCATGATGCTTTTCTGACAGTCTGCTTTGACATGATCGCACTGGGTGTCTATTAGCGGTGGTAAAAGCTTTACTGTAGAACATGGAGGGAGTCATAGTCCATAGCAAATTTCATTGACTCTTCTACTTTTTAAAATCTGTCTGCTCATGTTGCAACAAAGAAAACAAGTCGACAGCATCCCTGCACCCAAACTGATGGTGGAGCCACTGTGACATCACGGGAAGAAGCGACTGTCAGTCTACATCTACGCACATCTCAGTCATTTGTGATTTCATGTCAGAAAGTCGACACATCGAGCCAGAGGTCACAAGTTTCTGCCAAACCGTGAGTTTGATGTCACATCAGCTGGGGAGCAAGAATGACAATGATGGACAGATGGCTCCTTTTAACATAAATCATGATAGATATTCAGAGTTTCGAATGGAGTCACTGGAAATAATGATAAAAAGAAGAAGTTTAAATTTTAGTTTGAAAGTCATATGCATTAATCTACCTGTGTATTCATCCATCCATCCACCCAGGTATTTGAGGAGGAGCACATGAATGAAACAGGTGGGGTCTATTGCCAGGAAATTTTGAGTCAAACATGTAATTTCCTAAATTTTTCGTGATTTGGTGAATTTTTCCTTTTTCTACTTTAATTTGTTGTTTTATTTTATTTCATTCAAAATAAGAGTGTCTGTGGGGGATCAGAAATCTACACCCTATCAATTCATAAGATTAAAAAAAATTAAGATAAACTCATAATTGCTATGGAAACATATATTTAGTTATTAGCTGGTATTAATTTATATTCTTAATATATTATTTAGATTGTTGAATTACTAAAATGCTATGGTAACTCTTTTACTTTCTTGTGGTTTTAGTATCCTTAGATGATTTTCCAAAATTCCCATCTTAACTCTAAGAACAAAGAGATGCACAATTGGAAGCTGAATGAAAAGATACAGGTAAAAGATTAAAAAAAAAAAGTCAGATGCTGCCTACAGAGTTTTATCTTCCAAAAATCTTAGGTTGAAATAAATAAACAAGATGAGTGACTTACTTTGGCAGACTGGGATGGTGAGGATGATGAGCAGGGCTGTGAGGGTGACGCTGGCGGTGCTGAGGGGACTCACGCCGCCGCTGCTGAGGCTGTGCAGGCTGCTGGAGGCTCCGCGCTGCGCATGCTGACTTTGGCTCTGGACGGTCCTCATGTCCCTGTCTTGCTCTCGCTGCTCTGTCTCGTCTTGAGTGTGTGAGTGTGTTTTGGTTTATGTCCGCTTGACTTCTTGCTCTTCTGAGAGTTTCTTTCTCACGTCAGAGGAATATGAAGGCTCGTGTCACACACACCCCTCGCACTTGGCTGCGTCATGACAAAGTTAGATTGGATCAACAGGTTGGCTGAACGGGATGCTCCGGGGAGGTGTGAGCGCTCATGGACTGACGGAATAGTTAAAGTAAAGGTAGGGAAAGTGTAAAAATCCAGCTGGTGACCGTCAGAAAAATATCAAGCAACTTTATAAACTTTGTTTCCTGCAAACACCTGTTACTCTTACTGCCCTTGTTACCTTACAGAACAAAGGGAAATCCATTATGCGCTTATTTTATGATGGTTATTCTGTGTCTGAGAGATTTTAATGCAGGTCTGTGACGTTTTTTGTGGCTGTAGTTTGTTTTGCTGGATTGCATTAATGTATTGTGATGTGTGGATGTAATCTGAGGCTGTTTCAGCATCTTGATGCCAGGAAAGAAGCTATATTTATACATGTTATACTTATCTTGAAAGGCCATTTTGGCACAAACACGTAGTGTAGCCTTATTTTTCTGTTGTAGTTATTGTTATAATGGTAGCTACTGTAAGTGCATATGTGCGTAGCAACCTTACACCAAGATGTAACTCAGAGTCAACATTTATGTATATTCCAATAATTAGGGTGTCCTATTCATCTGTTAATGTGAGCTGGCAGTAAAAATGTGAAAATCATGCACAGATACACTAATCAAAACCAGATTTTTAGATTTTATTTTTCTAGATTTTAACTTCTTTTATTGTTGACTGTAAGGCAAGGCACGCTGATTTATTACCTCTCAACAACATGGTTGTTCAAAGTGCTTTACATTGGATATTAAAAAGCATTAAAGGTCCAGTGTGCAGGATTCAGGGGGAATTATTGGCAGAAATGGAATATAATGTAATAAGTATATTTTCTTTAGTGTTAAATCACCTAAAAAATAATAATCGTAGTGTTTTGTTACCTTAAAATGAGTAGTTTATATCTACATAAGGAGTGGGTCCTCGTTCATAGAGACCGCCATATTCACCGGCATGTTTCTACAGTAGCCCAGAATGGACAAAGCAAACACTGGCTCTAAATAGGGCCATTCATGTATTCATGTTTTTGAGTTGGCCACCCTAATTGGCAGCCTCTCTGCCATTAGCCAACCCGGCCTCACTCCAAAGTTGTCGAAATCCGGTGCTTGGCAGTGACACTGACATAGAAGTCATATAACATCAGCATCATAAACGGCCGGTCGCTGTTACAGTTTAATGGCGCCCAGCAGCGTCAGGTTTGAATAGCGTTGGAAAAACATTGGTTATTAATGTAAAACTGCTTTATTCAGTGTTTTTACCAGTTTAAATCAGCTGGTCTGTTTGTTCTGGAGAAGAAGAGACCTCTGTGGATAATTCAGCTCCTGCAAAAACCGGGTGAAGTTTCAGCTGCTTGCTGTCGTGCACATGTTCACCTTTAAGACAAGATGTAAAAGAAAAATATGGCAAAATAAAACAACACATTTTAATTGCTGTTTTTAACAGGACAACAGAACAAAACAAGTTATATCGCATAATCAAAACACATGCTCACTGTCCCCTCTTTTTTTTCAAACAGAAAGCACAGACAACATCCTAACCAAAAAAAACAAGGGGGAATTTAACATACATGAATCCAAAAATACAAATATGTCTTCCCTAAAATGATCCAAGGCTGTTCACAGCTGTTCAGTGCAACATCAATATGAGACACAACCTGGACGACACACAAACAGACATACAATGGCAAAACTACACCAGTGACATCTGAATCTACCATTTCATTATACCAGTACAAATTTAGTCAGACATTCCTTCTGTGAGGCTCAGAAAGGAGCCCCATACTTGTTTGAAAATATCTTCCATCCCCATTACTCTGTAACAATACTCAGTATTGTTGTACATCCTGTTGTTGTAGCCAGATGGACCCAAAACCTCTTTTACATACGTGGGATTTTTAGAGTAGAATAGAAGTGGCAATCAGAAAAATTTCGAGCCTTTATTCTTTATGCTGTATTCAGGACCCCCATTACTTGTTACCACAGTGACCACTACTCTTCCTGGGGTCCACACGAAACGCAAAAACAAGACAAAATATTAAATTATGACATCATAGACAATTTCACAACATAGACAAATTTAAATAAAACCCAAACAGTAGACAGCAGTAGTTATCACATTAACTCACATTTACATTGTCATCACATCAGTAGATCACAAAAGCAAACCAACAGCACCCATAACCAAGGCTTATAAAGTTTAATGTAACTGCACGAACTATATGTGACTGTACAAAACATGGTTGTACACTGAGGCATCACCCAAGTGAGCTCCACAAACGTTACATCATATGCTGGTAAAACAGAGTAACCTGGGTTTATTCCATATCGACAAGACTGTGTACGTTAAAGTTTTCTTTAATGCACTGGTCTTCGGTAAGATGGCATAAAGACGTGAGGGCTGTTTGTGTGGTGCATAAGGACTGCATGGTTCTTCTCCATGTTGGCAGACAGACAGATGGTTGGATGGTTCGTAACATTCAGTGCTTTATAAACCAGCAAAATAAATTATTTGAGAACTGGACTGACGCGTCCACTCGCTCTTCGTGAGAACTACGCTTCTTTTTTTGAAATTAAAGTTTAAAATGTGGTCATTAGGAAAACATTACTGCATGATATCTTGCTCTCACCTCACTTGTGTGATGGAAAACGTTATTTCACGCTTGAGCAAGTGGTAATAATGAGTGGTAAGCTGTAATGCAAATATTTGTCATGTAATTTGGAGTTGATTCTTGTACTTATCAGATTTTTTTTTAACATTTTCATAATGATAATATAGATAATATTTGGTGACATATTGTTTCATGTATAAGAAAATGAAGACCCAATAATGGCCATGATGGTATTATTCATAAATTCATGAATTCAACCAAACTAGGAGATTATATCAGTGAGGCCTACAGTGTATTTTTAAACAGGGATCGGACCTAACTTTGAAAACTCACATTATTTTTGCATGAATGTGTTCAACTCAAAGCTTTGGACACCACAGTTCAGCACACATTATCGGTATATTAAATTATAAGTAAAATTGTGTGAAATATGACTTCAACTTTTGTCTAATTTTCAATACATTCACAGTTCTGCGTCAATTCAAATTACTTCCTTTATTTGAGAGAGTCATTATGGATCATTACTAAATTACCTTTTCTCATAAAACTCCGGTAATGTGTTGGTCTTTGTGCGAAGCTGCTTGTGTGAAGGTATAAATACTCTCCGGCACTATAATTCATTTTTATCTGTTACAATAAACCAGAAGACATAATACAATAACAACCACTGTCCTGTTTTATTCAGCAGAACTCCATGAAAGATTCACTGGATTCAGAGTAATATGTGACACATTTGCATTGTGGTCCCGGCTCGGTGTATTTTGTCACTTGCGCAGAACCAAATCTTGTTTAAAAAGATAATATTCTGATTCATCTCCCAGTCATGAAACACTGTGCAAATAAAGTTTTTAAGGCAGGATGCTGTGAAACAGGAGACAGGCTTGACTAAAACAACAGTTCTGCCCTCGTCAGTCTACAGATATCTGTTGTGACTTTGTTTGAGCTCATGAGTGGCAACAAATGGAGTGCACTGATAATTGAGCAGTTCCAGGGAGTCACCAGTCTCATCCCCACCCTTGTCATCCTCCTACACTAATCTCTCTATCATCTTTAATCTCCCACTTTTCCTTATTATTATGAATTAAGACTCAACGGTGGAGGTCAGCGGGCAATCATAGCAACAGGATGATGGGATAGCCTATATTGTTTTTGCAGCATTAGAAGGATCCATTCATTAGGCCACACAATAATGTTTCCACAATAATGTTTCAGAAAGCTTTCCTTTATCCGCCGTTGTGGGAATAGTCCACAAATGTCGTGCCCTTTGAAGAGTTTTCTATTTATATGAAGTTGACTGGCATTTGCATGTGCTGGTCTAATTGGTTTTCTTGAGTGGAAACCCAAAGGTATTGAGGAAAGGATGTTCTCTGTGATTCAAACACTGACGCACCTTGAAACTACAACACAGATTATTGTCTTAATTCTGAGCCATGCTCAAGGACAGAGCCAGATATGCATTACCACTATACTAGAAATTTGAAGCTGAATTTGCCCCAGTATTCATATAGTTTACACAACCTACTTGCATCTTGACAAATTTGAGGACTTTCATTCATTCAGTCTCTGGATTTTGTCTATGCTTTTGCACCGAACAAGAGTTCGGAGTACCCAGCCTTCTTGGAGTCGCTGGATGGTGCTCAGGAAGTGATACCATCTGGGGGACTTCAATGGTCACATCAGTCAGTACTTTTACATAGACAGTTTAATTCCACTTTCATTCGGAATGAAAGGCCATTCCGATTGAAAAACGGTCATTCCGATTGAAAATTAAATCCGATTAAAGGGGGTGGTTTATTCCGTTTGTCATTCCGAATGAAAGAATTTTGTGTGCATGTATACACTCATTCCTCTTTAAGTTCATTCCGGTCTTTCTGTGCATGCTCGTTTCCTTGCCCTTCTGTCGCGATGACGTATATAGTGTGCATAGCAACGGGCTGAGATAGAGCACTCGGACTCTTTGCACTCACCGGTTTCCATACGCCAAAGCACGGTCTTCTACCTCCCTTCTTCGACCTTCTACCTCCCTTCTCCTCCTCAACAGACGAAGCATTAGCAGAACAAGGTTGTTGTCGTACTGCTGCTTCAAGAATATAAGCAAAACAAGCCCGAAAAAGGCACTAAGAACGGCGGCGTCAAGCATCTTGTTATCCAGAGCGAGGACTACAGTGTTTTCTTCCGGTAAACGCAAACACGTAACATCTGCTCCGCCCCGCCCCGCCCCGCCCCCTATCCAATCAGAAACCTTCCCTGCCCCAAACCTTGCGCTGACCCGAATAAAGGCGATTAAACTGATCTCCCGTGTAAACCCTCATTCAGAATGAATATTTCCCATGTAAACTACCTGGAAAAACTTAAATTCCGAATGATTTCATTCAGATTTATTTCATTCTGAATGAGAAGCCATCATGTAACCGTAGCCAGTGAGAGCTGTGTCCGTATAACTGGCACAAAATCATGGACAGGATGTCAAGGTGCAGCCGGGGGGAGAAGGGTGTGCGTTTTGGGAAACTCAGAATTTCTTTTCTGCTCTCCTCATCAGACCCTGACCTACAGGAAGTACTGGGGTGGTTTGCAGCCGAATGCAAAGCAGTCAGGATGAGAGTCAGTACCTCCAATCTGAGGCCACAATTCTCTGCTGGAAAAGCAACCCGATCTCACTCTGAAGTCATCGAAATATGGCATGTGGTCAGTGACTTCCGGTGTCAGACACCAATGAAAAAAGCCGTCCTTTCGGGTCAGAATGATACACGGCCGGTTGCCATTGTTATTTAACTGTGCCTGGTAGCATTGGGGGAAACACAGCGGTACAACAACGAAAGTTAAGCCAGTGGAGGTCCGAGTAAGGCGAGAAGGAGGGGAAGTGGATGGGTCCAACAACCACCAACGACTTTCACCCAGGAGGCCGGTGTTTGCTTCTCATAAAATTGTAAAGACAAACCCTCTTCTTTTTTCCTTAACATAGCCATGTGTGTTTGTTGTTGAAGGAAATAAAACATCAATTCGAGGTGTTGTACCGGCGTAGTGCTTTTATTTTGAAATAGACTGTAAGCAAACTGTACATTTCCTGTGAAAACTGAAGTGTACTTTGAAAACAGACAGTGCATGTAACAGACAGAACCTGACACGGCGTCCCGGAAGGTCAACAACGGACGCACCCAGGCTACCTTCCTTCATATCTCGACATGAAAAGTCCATGACCAAACATCAATATGTGACAAGGTCAGATGAGAATGTGCTGGGATAATGGTGGTTTACTTTCTCTGGGTTGGGAGTGAGTTAGTACCCCAAGTGAAAGATTTCAATTATCTTGGGGTCTTGTTCTCGAGTGAGGGTAAAATGGAGCATGAGATGGACAGGTGAATTGATGCTGCCTCATCAGTGATGTAACAGTCTGTTGTGGTGATGAGCTGGAAGGCAAAACACTCTGGGCCCAGTGTCATTAATTAAAGCGATTAAAGTACAGAAACAGACCCACCAAAAAACATCCATCTCTGACACAAAAGATGTCATGAATGGAAACGGGAGGAAAATGAGCAGGGAGAGTAACCTATTTACAAATCACATCCTCCTACAGAGACCATTAGTTAACCTTATAAAACATGGCAAGCCTCTGAGTTTGTGTTTCCAAATTGTACAAATCATGAAAAATAATCGCTGTAAACAGCTGCGTTTGGCTCATGTTGAAACCTCCTGCAGACTGCAGTGAAACATTACACTTCTTAATTTTGTTTCAATCTTGTGTTTGGAAGTTGCTCCCTTTGCTAA